CTTTGCCCAACATTCAGTTATTCACATTCAAAATCTTGGTGCAGTTAACCGATATCAATGGGAGCAAAACAACCCCACAGTATGCTGCTGCCGTCACCATGCCTTAAAGCTAAAAGCGTGTTCCTAGTTTTTAACATCATCTTCACTCATCCAAACATTCTTCTCATCACTGAAGACAGAAAGCTCCGACTTTGTCTCATCTGAAAATTGAAACTTTTCTTGTAAAGATGGTGTTAAGCTTGTCAACAGCTGTCACCTCAGTCGCCTCTTTCTATTGTCAGGACTCTGACACTGATGTTCCAGCTTCTTCAAATTCACAGCTTAAGCCTTGGTGGACAGTTGGCTGCTTTTGAACATCTTAAAACAAAAAATTTTATGTGACTGTGACAGTCTGGGTCAGATGGCTCAAAAATGGGAAAAAAAAAAACCTGCCATATTGAATTTACAGTAAAACAAATGTTTCTTTTCTTTTTTACAAATGAAGAAATTAAGGGTTCTGGTGCATCTTTTTTGTAGCTTCAACCGCAAATCTGTTTCAAATGTTTCGACTACGCTTTTAACCTAAGAGCATGACACCAATGAAACTAACAACTTATCAAATATCCTATCAGAATCATACCTGGAAGCATGTCAAGAAGCAACTAATTAACTAAATCTTTAAGAAGTCAAGGACGGCTGTTCCTATCAGCTAACTGGGATGGTTCTACTTACTCATGTTGTGAGTGCCGTTCTCCTCTCCGTTAACGGTGGCTTCTCCATTCTTTGGTGCATTAGACTGGTTTCCTGAGGTTGAAGCAGAGACGGTGCAGGCGGCATGTTGCTGGGCTAGCTTGTCACGGAAGGCTTGTTGCCGCGTCTGCACCACGTCGGGCATCACAGCATCAATAAGCGAAAGTGACTCGATCGGCCGCCCATCAAAGACAGTCCCGTCCTGTCAGGGAGGAAAGGCCATGTAAAATGAGTCTTGTTTATTGTGGAAGAAAGGAATTATTGTATTTATTTTCATCATCAAAAAAAAACAACACTGTAAATTATTGGTGTTTATATTATTTTCAAACATCCTTAGAGGAAATCTGTGGGAAGCTGTAAAGGCAAATTTCTGCAAACAAAAAAAGGCTAGTGATTTTAGAACTAGTCCACGTGAAGAGGAACACTATATTTTTTATAAGTGGCTTAGATAGAAAGTTTCTAGCAGCATTTAAGATGTTGTAGTACATATGCAGGACACATTGGTGGTGCTGTGACACTGCCACAGATCACAGACACAGAAACCATTGACAGAAAAACTGGCAATGTACCAATGCAAAGTTAACACACTGATCTCTATTTATTCAGTCAAATGCTGCCATCTTGGTACTCCCCACTTCCCTGGAGTCGCGCCATAAAACTGACTTCATAGACTTTATACTGACTATACAATGTGATGTGCCTATTTTTTTTTTTTACCATAAATTAATTAATCTACTGATGCTATGAAACAGCAAGTTTGTGTCAAAGTGATTAATTTATCTTTATTCTAAAATAATATTAATAATATAAATTTTCCCCCTGAAAATAAGAAAATCATCATTATTCGATGCTGTAGTGCACGTATTGTTTACATTCGGACCGGTTTAACTAGGGAGTACCAATATGGCGGCTGGTGACTTCACAGCACAGTGTACTACCTAACGGCCTATCAGTGGTTTAATACAGCACCATGACTGTAAAGACCAGCAGATTACAGTGAAAAGTTGAGATAAAGCTACAGCATCATTGTTCAAAAAAAAAAAAAAAAAGAGATGCGGCTCATATGAACACACTGAAACATGAAACTAATGTCTAATTGTTTATGTTGGGATCCGGTTTCAATAAATGTTTATGCTCTCCCCAAAAAACAAAAAAACAAAGCAACGGCTCTTGAAAATAGCTGTATTTTCAGTAAGTGTTTTTTTCTTCACTGGATGCAAAATAAAAATAAAAACATTGGGATTTCCAACCCCCTGGCTTTCACCAGCTGCCTAGCTAACATTTTCCAATTTTAACTAAATGTTTTGAGGCCAGTTTAAATCGTAAGGACATATTTGCCAATTTCTTTTCACTCTTCAACCAGAGTCTAAATAATATATACCCACTTTAATTTACAAACAGCACAAAAATGAAACAATTTATATTATCCTGTCTCATTATTATAAAACAAACAAAGTAAAAAAAAAAAAACCTGCCTGAATAGCTGCCATTGTGTGTTCAAGCTGCAGACTGTTATGTCTCTGTGACCTCATTTTATAAAGATCACTTATGCAATTTGTCTACTGATAAATCTCTAGTGGAAAACAAACTAGAAATGTTCCCAACGCTGGCTGCATCATAAGTAATACTCAGAACTTAAGCACTTCCATATTTATTAATACAACGCAGGTGATAGACTATGTAGACATTCCCCAAAACCCTTTGTGCTCGTTTATTTATAACAAATGCAAACTGTTGCCTTTCTTAATACAACATCTCCTTTTACACTCCTGCAAATTTTCAATACATTTTTAAATAAAAAATTAAATACACTGAACTTGCATCCAAGGATAATGAGTAAAAACATGTCAATAGAATCACATCCCCAGTTTCTGCCCTCACCTCATTAATGCTGATTTCTGCCTCAACATACTGTAGTCCTTTCTGCAAGATGGAGATGAGTGCTGCAGGGGGCACTAGTGTTCCATTGATGTTTGACTGGCTGATGTGGCTCTCAATGCCAAAGGTGAATGCTGAGTGGGTAAAACCTAAAAAAGAAAAAAATAATAAAACGGAATGATACTCAAGAGAAAATTTAATTCTTTAATTGAAGAAAAAGTGCATTTACATGTTATTTCATTTAAGAAACGAATAAGGCCTGAAACCATTTATGCTGGATCTCTTCTTTCATTTGATACAAAACACAAAACACTTAGCCTGAGTCACTGTAGCCAAAAGAACACATCAGGAAGTAGGTATCCTCGGTTTAATAGTGAATGTCAAAAAAAAAATTATGAAATCATGGGCTTTTTTAAAATATTTGCACTATTTATCGTATGTATACACATCTAGCCAAATTAAGATCATACCAAATATGAACATGTTTAATCTGCTATAGTTAAACCAGATATTTGTGACACAAACCTGACTCTTGGAGGTATCTGTAGACCAAGAAATTCACTTCGTCACTGGTAATACTCATCTTAGCCCAGCAAGGAGGGGGAGGTTTGTTGGAAGGCTGAGCTCACTCCTGTAAATGAGCAAAAACAAAAACCAGACTGTTTAATATCTCAATATGGGGTTGGAGAAAATGGGATAGTAAAACACTCATTATCATCTTTTTTTTTTTTTTTTATAACTTTATTTTTATTTTGATCGTTATTAACAAACAATACATAAAAACTATAATAGACAAAAAGTACAGAACAATCGAAGCAAAAAACAAAAAAACAGGGGGAGACTCGTATTTTAGTAACTCAAAACATATGGGGACCATCCATTTCCAAAATTAGTCCGGTATCGTTGATGTGAAGTTTGTCCATTTTTCCCATTTGTCTAAGCATTGCTGCTCCTGCATCCTCAGCCTATGTGTTAGAAGCTCCATCTCAAATAGTGAGATCACAGTCTGTATCCACTCCTTTGTGGTAGGAGGTTCAGATTTGCACCACCTCCTGGTTATCACCTTTTTAGCTGCCACCAACAGAATTTTTAACAAATAACAATCATTATTAAGTATGATATTGTCCAAAAGACCAAGGTATAATACCAGACCGGACTTGTGTATTGAGTAACCCAGTATTGTTACAATCTTACTGTGTATTTCGTTCCAGAACTGAGTAATTTTAGGCCAAAGCCAGAAAATATGCGCATGATTAACATTAAATTTTCCACAATCTCTCCAGCATGGCTGAGCTCTAGATTTGAATTTACTAGTAATTTTGGGTGTTATATAAAATCTGATTATATTCTTCCAACAGTGTTCTCTCCAGATTCTGGAAGAGGATGTTGTAGTTTGGGTCTTCCAAATATTCAGCCAGCCTTCGTCGGTTATTAGAATATCAAATTCCCTTTCCCACTTTGTTTTAATATTCAATGTATTAGTGCCTCTATTTTCTAACAGATATTTATAGAGTAAAGACACTGTTCTTTGTTTTTTACCCTTATATGTCTCAATCAGCATTTTGATAATCCCATTTACATTTGGGTCTATTTTTTGTTTTATTTCTTTGTTATAGAAGTCCCTTAATTGTAGATATCTAAAGTGATCTTGAGTTCTTAGAGCAAACTCTTGCTGTAGTTCCTGGAAACTTTTAAAGTGCCCATTGTTAAGGACTACGCATAACGCTGTTAAGCCTCTTTCTGACCATTGTTTAAATCGTGTGTCTTGAATAAAATATTTATTGTAGGCTGGCCACTGGATCAGACCCAACTGTTTCTCTAATTTGCATATTCGGATTATATGTAACCATTTACCCAGAGAAAAACTAGTAATGGCATTAACATTCTTTAATGTATTCTTAGTGGTCTCTATATCACCAATGATACTCCGCAGTTCTCTTCCATTAACTCTTTGTTCAATATTTTTCCATTTCCCTTCATAATTTATGTCACTTATATTTATTATGGGAGTTATTTGGGCAGCATGATAATATTTTCTAAGGTCAGGTAAGGCCCTACCTCCTTTCTCCTTTGGTATATGTAAAGTTTCAAATTTTATTCTGGGTTTTTTACCGTTCCATATGAATCTAGAAATAATCTGGTTCCATGTTTTAAACTGTCTATCCGGGATTTCTATAGGTAATGCCAAGAAGAGGTACAATAACCTTGGTAACATGTTCATTTTTATCGCTTCAATTCTGTAGCTGAAGTCTAGTGTTAGGACATCCCACTTTCTAATATCCCTCCTAATTTCTTGGTCCACTTTAGTAAAGTTAGCTTTGTACAGATCACCCATGTTTTTCGTTAATCGTATTCCTAGGTAAGTCATCATAGTAGAGCTCCAATTTAAATTATATTTTCTACGTATTGATTCAGATGGTGTATAAGCGAATGTCAAAACCTGTGTCTTTTTCAAATTTAGTTTGTATCCTGAATAGAAGCCAAATATCTCTAACTGGTTGATCAGACAAGGCAGCGAGTTTTCAGGGTCTGATAAATAACAAATAACATCGTCTGCAAACAAACCTATTATATGGGACTCATTATGAATATCTATACCTTTAAGATCCTTATGTTGTCTTATGTGTTGTGCCAGTGGCTCAATAAAAATTGTAAATAAAGTTGGTGACAAACAGCAGCCCTGACGGGTAGAGCGCTCTAGTTTTATATTGTCAGTTAGATTTCCATTAATCTTGATTCTGGCCACAGGTGACTGATACAAAGTCCTCACACACTGTACAGCTTTTTCATTAAAGCCAAATTTTCCAAGTGCTTTATATAAGAAGTTCCAGCCTACGCTGTCAAAAGCTTTCACTGCATCGAGACTGATTAAGATAGCTGATGATTTTTTATTTTGAATATGGTCTATTATGTGAAGTGCCCTCCTGATGTTATCTCGCGTTTGGCGACCCTTAATAAATCCTGTCTGGTCCTCATCTATGATATCTCCAATGAATTGCTCAAATCGTTTCGCTAAAATCGAGGTATAGATTTTATAGTCCATGTTTAGGATGGATATAGGTCTATAATCAGAGCATGTTTCACTCTTCCTTTTTTTCGGAATGACTGTTATGATTGCTTCTCTCCAAGATGGCAGGAGCACTGCATGTTCCAGTGTATAATTAAATGATTTTTCTAGTAGTGGTAGGAGATCTTCGCTGAAGGATTTGTACCACTCAGATGGCAGTCCATCACTTCCTGGTGTTTTACCATTTTTTAACCTATTAATTGCCTTTTGTATTTCTATCCTAGTTATATAGGAAGTGAGAAGTTTGTTTTGGGTTTCACCAATTGAGGGCAGATCCAGTGACTCCAAGAAGGTTTCTATCTGTCCATCATTAGCAGAGGGAGGCTGACTGTATAATCTCTGGTAGTATTTCATAAACCTGTCCTCAATAGTTGCTGGGTCATGTATCATTTGATTTGTTTCATCATCCTTTAATTTATAGATATGTCTATCTGACTGTTGCTTTTTCAATTTCTTTGCCAACAGTTTTGTTCCTTTAGGTCCCACCTCATGATATGATTGTTTAATAAACTTTGATTTCTTTTCAATTTCATATGTAAGCATTTTATCAATGTTGTTTCTTAGTTCTTTTATTTTTATTAACAGGTTGGGATTTTGGGTTAATTTGTGTTGTCTTTCCAGAACTGTTAGTTGAGCTCTTTCTTTTTCATAGGCATCCACTCTAGATTTCTTAAAGGCCGCTGTTTTTGAGATAAATTTTCCTCTTAATACTGCCTTAAGTGCGTCCCATAATATCACCGGATTAACCTGTCCATCGTCATTCTCTTCTATGTAAGTTTTTATATCGTGGGAAATTCCGGCTTTGATTGTTTTGGAGTTCACCGGATTAACCTGTCCATCGTCATTCTCTTCTATGTAAGTTTTTATATCGTGGGAAATTCCGGCTTTGATTGTTTTGGAGTTCAACAAGCCTACATTTAATCGCCATGCTGTTTTGCGTTTTTCAGAAGATAAATTTAGTTTTATTATTAGCGAAGAATGATCAGATATACTTGTATCTTCTATTTTACATTCCTTTATCTTATATATATCAGATTAATTCATGAAAAAGTAATCAATTCTAGAATAACTTTTATTCGGCGCTGAGTAATGGGTATAGTCCTTTACATTGGTGTTTAATTCACTCCAGACATCAACAAATCCAAGTTCCTCAAGTGTCAATTTAAATTTTTTTGTAGTTGAATTTTGTTGTTTTTTACTATTTGTTGTATCAAGTTCTGTGTTTAATACCATGCTGAAATCCCCTCCCCAAACCAACATTCCCTCTGTTTCCATAATTATTTTGTTGAGGAGGCTATTAAGGAATTGTTTATTACTATTTGGAGGATTGTAAACGTTGACCAGTGTCACCATTACATTGTCTAGAGTCCCCTTCACCATCACATACCTCCCCTCTTTATCTGACAGATCATAGCTACAATCAAATTTTATTGAATCATGAATTAGAATTGAAACTCCTCTTTTGTTTCCATGTCTGAAAGAGCTGTAAAATACCTTTGAGTAGCCAAAGCCCCTGAGTTTTTTGTGTTCCGATTTAGACAGATGCGTCTCCTGTAAATAGATTAGCTGTGCTTTCTCTTTTCGCATTTTAGTTAGAATTTTTTTACGTTTTATAGGATTATTCATACCATTCACATTCAACGAAACTATCTTGATAATATCAGTCATTATTTAGTTTTGTAAGGTCACCGTGTGATTCTAGAAAAAGATCCCCCAACAAATAGCTGAACAGGCTATTAAAACACAGATGAACAAATAGAACAGAAACTTCCAAAGGTGGAGATGTGTGAAAACATCCCTCAGTGTCCCTGTTGGTGGGGTGGGGGCAAAGTAACACACTAAGGTGGGGGCCCCCTCTAGTAGTAGACGGAGATCTACCTGTACTAGGTATGTCCAACATTTGGTAAGCGCTACAACATTCACTCCTTTCGGCACTTTGTTTAAATATCTATCAAAAGACCTATAAGCAATAACTTCAGTAACAGAGGGGAGAATAATATCCAAAACAGGACTAAAACCAGCTGGTAAAGACATTCAGCTCTTAAATCGTCCGTACGTTACTTACATTTTTTTTTTTTTTTTTTTTTTTTTTTACTAGTAGAGCAAACCTGTTATGATTCAATGTTCAGAGTTACTGGTCCTCACGTCTGAACTCTGTGAGCCTCTCCCTCGCGCGTTGTCCTGCACCGGTGTTGTTGATCCGTTTCCATGGTAACAGTGAGTCGAGCCTCTCCTTGGTCACTTTCAACTTGTTCTCTCTTGGTACCCAGGTCAAGTCGAAGCCTCTCTTGATCATATCCGACGCTGCTTCATCTGCGTTCTGGTAGGTCCGCACTCCAGAGTCCCAGAAGATTCTCATCTTTGTGAACGGCGTCTGGAATCTGACGCCCTTCTGCTTCAAGGCTGCCTTTAATGGGCCATATGCTTTACGTTTTTCTATAACGTCCGAAGCATAATCGTTATCAAAGTAAAGGCGCTTGCCCTCCATCTCCACTTTCTGTTCCCAGGCTTTCCTCAGAACCATTTCTTTTGTGTTGGATTGCAAGAAATTCACAATTATAGAC